TTAATCTCCGTAGCTTTGGCAATGGAGAGCAAGGTAAGAGTCTGATACCTTCCCCATCTGTTTTGTGGATGTTATCACTAGAAGTTTGAGTTCTTCTATAATCAACTGATAATTAAGATGATTAAGCTGTCTTTTGTCAGAGTGTGGAGTGCGCCCCTTGTTTGAGAAGATCACCAAAGAAGATAAGAACGAGAAGGAGCTACTAATGTCATACTCTGGAAGCAGAATAGTGGGAGGAGAGGAGGCTGAAGTGGCCAGTGCTCCATGGTAAATACAATACAGGGGCTGCTTTTAAACATCTTGGCATTATTGATCATCTCGACAGCTAATGCTGCACTTTGTATAATGTGTTTGTTGTGATTTGCAGGCAGGTGATGCTGTATAAGCGTAGTCCTCAGGAGCTACTGTGTGGAGCCAGTCTGATCAGTGATGAATGGATTCTCACTGCCGCGCACTGCATTCTCTACCCACCGTGGAACAAGAACTTCACAATCAATGATATTATCGTCCGCCTGGGAAAACACTCTCGTACCAAGTGAGGTCTTTAAAAAACTCTAGAAAACCTCAGTATATTTCTTTTCACTGGACTTTTCACGAATACATACTTTATTTATGCCAAGTAATTTAGAAACATCAGTTTACAGAAGGTTAAGCTGTTTTAAACCCTTTCCTGTGTCTCTCTGAGTCAGGTATGAGAGGGGCGCTGAGAAGATTGTGGCCATTGATGAAATCATTGTCCACCCTAAATATAACTGGAAGGAAAACCTGAACAGAGACATTGCTCTTTTGCACATGAAGAAGCCTGTTACCTTTACGAATGAGATCCACCCTGTTTGTCTGCCCACCAAGAACATTGCAAAGAAGTAAGAAAATACAGTAGTTTAATATAGATATATATTTACAATGAGACAGATGTAGCGTCAGATATATTGTTCAATACTGTATATACAAGTGAAAAGATTATTGGAAAAGAAAATCATGTAGGGCAGGGACTTGGTTCTACTCATCGGTTGTTGATTGGATGGAGGTAGATGAATGCAAGTTTGATCAAGTTTGTAAGAAACAGGTGGAGTTTCAGCATACTAAACAATTTGAGAAGTCTGATGAATCATGGATGAATCATTCACAATAAGATTAATAGCATGCATTTATTTTAATTCCGATTTTGAAACTTCACACCATAATGATGCTAACCCCTTGAACCCCCTTTAAGCATTTTAGCATAACTTGATGCTAAATAGCTGTAATTGACCGATTTTCTCTCTGAAGTTTGATGTTTGCAGGTTACAAGGGCCGTGTGACTGGCTGGGGGAACCTGAGGGAATCGTGGTCCTCAAACCCAACCAATCTTCCATCAGTGCTGCAACAGATTCACTTGCCCATTGTGGATCAGAGCATGTGCCGCAATTCCACCTCGGTCATCATCACTGACAACATGTTCTGTGCTGGTAATATACTTCATATTCTTCATGGTTTTTAGACCCTAGACAATTCATTTGCTGAGAGCTTGTGTGATGCTTTTGCACTCAGGTGTCACTTACAACAAGGTCATCTTTTGTTTTATAGGTTACCAGCCAGATGATACAAAAAGAGGTGACGCTTGTGAAGGAGACAGTGGCGGACCGTTTGTGATGAAGGTATAATGTTTATGCTTTTCTCTCCTCAAACAAGTTTGACTTATCAGTGTCCTATAAAGCTCTGTTTGTTGGACTCACACATCTATATTTGAACATCTTGTCCTTTTAAAACCCATTACTGCCCACAGAGTCCTACAGATAAACGCTGGTATCAGATTGGCATTGTGTCGTGGGGTGAGGGCTGTGACCGCGATGGCAAATATGGATTCTACACACACTTATTCCGTATGCGTCGCTGGATGAAAAAAGTCATTGACAAAACAGGCTCAGCAGATGAGGAGTGATCTTCCAAGCTGGAAGAACACATTTGCCACACAATAAATGAACACTTTGGTCAAATGTGATCAAACCTGCAAATGGATAAATAAATCTGAATTCTTTGTATGTTGATACCAGTGTGTGAGCATGGTGTTTCTTTCTGTGTTTTGAAGGTGAGAATGGGCAGGCGTCTTGAAACGCATGCAATTCTGGTTTAATTAAATTCAATTAAATGCCAGGTTCCTGCCATACAGAAATAGAGAAGGAACAGTGACTTGAATGATAACAGTTTTGAGGGTGATTACAACACACACCAAAGATGCTCTTATTTTTTTCACAGCTATCAAATCCACTGTATTTTGCTGAGATGCTTTGAAAGAAGAAGAAAAATGTGCAATAGGCGAGACACTGCAGGTGAATAGGGTAAAAAAACAACAACTGATAGTTATCGCCTTACTTACCCAGCTGATTGATTACATTGATAATTGCAAAAAATTTTTGCAATACAAGTTTTCTAAAATGTTAGGTTTAAATATGCAAATGAGTCATTATTTAATGAAATATGTGCTAATTTGCATACATTTCTAGTACAAAAAATCCAAACACTGGATGATGTCAGTTTCAAAGTTATTAGTTAGTACATATTAGAGTCAAAATATTTTACAGAGGGAATTTTGGGTATATCATTTTTGTCACTCCATAATCCAGAAAATGCTTAGAATGGACAGAAAACACTATATTTTTTTCACAATTTTGGGGGGAATAAAATGCTGTATATAATCAAGCAAATTATATATGAACGAATCCCTCTGTAAAAACCTTCAGGATATAGACAGGAATACAAATGTAAAGTTTGGTGTGTGTAAGAGCTACTGAAGTGGAGATTTATGGCTCAGTGTAGGAGAAAAAACTCATTTTGAGAAAACGGCCTTTAAAGACATGTATTGTAATTGAAATCTATTGACACAAATAGATAAAGTGCTGTAAAAGAAACACTTAACAGTGTCTTTTGGATGTTTTCTTTCGACTAGTCTGAAAAAAACACTTTATGAAAAACCAAAAAGCCCAAAATCTCAAACTTGACAGGTGCATGTCTCCCCTTAAAAGCCATAAAGTTTCCTATTAGTAAATTTACATAAAATGGGAATGCAGACAAAATTATTAAGATCAATTCAATAAAATCGTTTTTCATCTTCCAAGATCATTAGGATGCCGTGCAACTGATCACTGAACGCTCTCATCTATGCATTTATTTCACACCAAAATGTTAACTTAAATCAAACTCATTTAAACTAATACATTTCTTATAAGGCTATAATGTAACTGTAATTCAATAATGGTGTTGCAGATTCAGTGGTCCCAGATTGAAGGAGTGTTGACATGGAGGGAGGTTTCTAACATTTATGGCTCTTGTTCTGTTCAACACATTATGATAAAAGAGACCTGACTGAACCCACGTTTGCTTTAGACAATTAGATCTTAATATGTGGCCCATTTTACCCGTTGTTCAACGATTATAACAACAACAACAACACATTCTTGGGGGTGTGGTCATACGTTCTCCTCCTGCATCCGGGCCGTTTACACTCAACTACACCGATCCAATATGGAGCTGGTTTTAGCGATGTCTGACACTCAGTATTACTGACCAGCACAGATGAACTACCATGAGAATGGGCAGAAATCAAGCACAGATCCCAATATTTTTTTCCTGTAGTATTGTTCATAAGATTATAAATTATAGTGAAATCTTGATTGTATGTAGTTTGTTAATAATTAATTATAAGCTCATTAGTACATGAGAAAAGCACTAGCTATTGATTTTATTCTGGCAGTTATTGCTCTATATTGTGGTGACGGTCTTTATATTTTAGAAAGTGTAGTTGATTTTGGAGGTTTTGGGGCTTCTTCTTTAGGTCTCTTGTTTTTAAGCTCTCTTTAGGGTCTTTGTTTCTGTCTGAAGTGCTGGTTGATTCACTGAGTGCAACTGTGAAAGAGGCGCATTGTTTTTGCTGATGATCTTTCAAACTGGCTAATGAATTAGATGGCACTGTAGAGTGGGACAGGACTGATTTTGGACGGTACTGTTTGGTTAGAACCAAAAGATGTATGATCAAGTATTGACATTAACAATAGTCCAACTAGTAACCTAAGAATTGTGAAAGCTTCTTTATATGGTTTCTTTGACTATAAGCGATCTATAGCAAGATTGCTGTCAGTATTGACAACAAGGCTAGATAACTGAGATGCTCTTTAATCAGAGCGACAGATTAATGACCCGGGTTACATCACCTGAAGACTGTTCTAATGTTATCACATTATTTAGAGATAGCAGAATAGAGGCTGTCACAGATGTTAGTAAATGTGAAACTGGCTCTTCAAGGGTTGAGGATATAAATAGGAGCAAAGGGTAAAACCGAGAATTGTTGTCAGTATACGGCTGGACGGCCTCATTGCCGTGTGGCACCAAAGCGAGGGACTGTCACAGCAGATCACTGTCTGAGCCCTACTGACACCTGCACTAGTAGCCACACAGATAAAAAAATATAGCACATTCACAGTGCCATAATGTTTTAATTATAAAAGATTGTAATTATAACATAAGAAATAATAATATTATTAAGAATTTAGTTCCACAAATCTTGACCCTGCCGACATGAACAACTAACACTAGCATGCTGAGAAGATTGATTGTGATCATTATGGTTGTGGCAAATAAAAACATTTGATGATGAAATTAAATCTACGGGCAAGCTTTCAAATGAATGCGCTGTGTACCGTTTTAGAAAGAACAAATGGTATTAATTGTTGGGGGTAGTTTGCTTACATGGCAGAGCAGCTAGTGGTTATGTGATCTGGAAATGAATCATTTTTAATCATGCTTATTTTAAATGGACACAATTTGCTAATTTAACAATAAAATTTAATGCAACAGTTTACCTGTTCTTTTGAATGTGATATTGTTGCAATGAAGAAGTTACGTTTTTTTTGTTTTTTTTTTGTTTTGTGAGTAGGGCTGGGCATTGCTCAGAAATTTTCAATACGGATACCTTGACTACCCTGATTTTTTCTGAAACGCAGTGAAAACGCCAGTATGCACAAGGATAAATTTCATTTTAAAATGGCATTTTTAAAAATGCACTAGTGTACACGCAGCCTTACATCTATTAAACAGTTCTGATGGGGGGCAGATTGATAGTTAGCAAGATTGAGTTACGAAAACAAACTCAAACGACTTGTTCAGCATTTGATAGTGTGGTCAGTCACTGAACATGGAAGTGTGCCCATGTGCAAATGCTGCATTTACCCAGGCTTATGCAGGACAGACAGGAACCTAGTGTGAAGGCAGCTGAGCTTTCACAGATCTCGGTATAACATTGTGTGGTATTGTAACGTGCTGTTCTGTGTCTAACCTTTGTGTGAATTGTGTTGTCTAAGAGGACCATCATGTCCTCTGACCTGCTGGTGGACCTTCACGATGATCTGGGAGGAGATGACTCTCCTAGCGCTGCCCTGGACCAGCTCAAACTGGTACAGGACAAACAGTGGCCACCAGATGACCCTTTTAGCCTGAGCAAATCCGGTGAGTGCATGGTGGTGGGAATTGTGCATGTTTGTGTGTCATACAGGATAATAAGAATTTTTAAATTTAGTTTCATTTTGCAGAATTATACTGATCTTTTCAAAGAATAAAGCAGTGTAAGAAAAAGGAAGTTATTGTCAAGTACTTTTACTTTTGGCCTTCAATTTTATGACAAAAAAAAATGTATTCGTCAAAAAAATAAAATAAAAATACAATAGAAAAACCCCCCAAATTCTTGTTTGTTTTTTGTTGTAATTCCAAATATAGGTCACCCTAAAATGAATGTTTAGTGTTTAACACGTTGAAGATTAGCAGGCTGACAATTTATTTCCTCACAAAAGCCAGTGTACTGAATTAATTCATTCCATTTGCATCCATAAAAAAAAGAAAAGTGAGAATGGTTCAGAAAAAGTGGCTTCGTTTCCTAGGGGCTTGGGTCACACACTGGATGAGAATCAGGTATGGCACACCAGATGCGTCATTCTGTACTCTTGTTCTCAAGTTTATGGCAGCAGTCCAAAGCAGTGAACACAATCACTAGTATACATGCAAAAATTACTTTTCAAGAATGAACAAAGTATGTGATACCACGGCTGATTTTACCTGCATTTGTTGGGTTGGTGGTTGTTAATTTCAAATCCTGATCATCTGGTTGAGCTAGCAAAGTGCCAAGTGGGATCTGAGAGGCTGACTTTCCTCTATCACTCTATAGCCATATACTCTATAGCTTGTGTTTGGGATATTTTATGATCGTTTCAGTTACATGTTTTTTATTTTTGTTTGAAATGTAGCATTCATTATAGTCTTTCCTGCAGCGTCAGATATTAAAAGCCTTGGCGGCACATCACATCTGCCCTGGGATGACCCCTTCTATGACATTGCCAGACATCAGATTGTGGAGGTTGCAGGTGAGGTATTATGAAATGCACAAGCATCACCAGCTAGCGTTAATTCTAATTCTAAAATCTCCTGATCTTTCTCTTTCTTTTTAGGTGATGATAACTTTGGTCGGAAGGTCATTGTTTTTAATGCTTGCCGCATGCCTCCCCAACATCAGCTGGATCATCATAAACTTCTCATGTAGGCATCGCTGCTCTACTTCATTTATGTGGTTCAGTAGATGTGCTCAATACACTGTGTCGCCTGATAATTAAAGGGGTCATATGACGTTGCTAAAAAGAACATTATTTTGTGTATTTGTGTTTATGCGTTTTAAGGTTAAAAAAATGCATTATTTTCCACATACTGTACATTATTGTTGCTCCTCTATGCCCCGCCTTTCTGAAACACATTGATTTTTACAAAGCTCATCGGTCTGAAAAGCGAGGTGTGCTCTGATTGGCCAGCTATCTAGTGCGTTGTGATTGGCCAAATACCTCAAGTGTGTGACGGAAATGTTATGCCCCTTACCAGGTTCAGGAAACTTTCCTCCGTAAAATGCGCTGCACACACTCGAGTATTTGGGTTGTACTGTTCTGGAACAGTGTTGTAAATAAAACTAAACCACTGATTTTCTCTCTTTTCAAAGGCAAAACAAAGTCGTTTGGCTTTCGCAACGAAACACACAGCGTCTCCACGATATGGCGGCGGCAACAATACTTCAGCGAGAATCAAAGTTACGCCTTCTTTCTTTGCGTGAACATTTGGGCGGCATTATGCAAATCTTCCCACACAGTGACGTAGATATGTGGGGGTGTGTTAGAACGAGCCGTTTTAGGTAGGCGTGGCTGATGTTCACTTTTATAAAAAATATCTCTTTGGGTTTGAGACTTTAATCTTTGCGATTTACGGATCTTCTGTATGCACGAACAGCTTGTAACACTCCAAAGACAAAGGAAAACATGAAATCGCATCATATGACCCCTTTAATATTTCTGCATTAACTTGTCCAGGCTGTCCTATGTAGATGATCACAAGACACTCTAAAGATCAAGGTCAAGTGCAGGGAACAAGAGTACAGGGAAAACATTTATAAGGATCCAAGGAGAGAATTTGTCCATAGAGACAGAAAGAGAAGATATAAGCAGCGCTTTTGATATATCAACTGATGTTTTCTGTTTGTTTGTGCAGTTAATTTGGTTAATAATAATATATTTAGATTTTAATTGATATGTTGTACATGTATATTTTTTTCAGTTCAGTGTTAAAATATACAAGCTTATGTCGATTTTAGAATACTGTTTTTATTTTAATTTTTTTATCCTGGTGTGACATTCAAAATAATAATCAGATAAAATAATCAGAGTTTGTTAAAAATGTTGTCAAAAGTTTTTTTTTAATTATAACGTGATTTTGTTCACCACATTGGTACTTAATCTGAAACTTTATTTCAGTGAAATAATTATTGAAAATAATTTGAAGATTTCAGGGATTAACTGTCAGTTCTTCCAAGATTAAAGTTATCTTAAAATACCAAAATGTATATTCCCATGAGAAATGTATTTAGGACGATTCATGAGGTTTTCCTTTCTTCATTTTTTTGGTCAAAGTCAACCACTCATATGCTGGATTATAAATGAATCATGTGTTCAGTGGGTCAAAGCACCATAAGACAATGTTCAAAGACAATGAAGTTTTTAATGAAGTGAAATCAAGACTTAGTTCAGTTCCCTATTGGGAACTTCAGGAGTTGTCTGAGAACAGAATGGTTTGTGTAATGAAATCTAGAGCAAATGTCAGACTCTGAAGAGTATAAATAAAACCTGAAGATTCAGTAATTGACAGCTGATTCACAAATATGCTAATAAGTGCAGATGTGCCTTCTGTTTGTTTTAGTGTCTAATATGAACTCAAACTCGTGGTTAAAAAAAAGACAAGTTTTGATTTGGTGTGTGCATTTACTGATATTTGTGTGCAGGTATTTGAAGCAGACTCTTGATAAGTATGTGGAGAGTGATTATACCCTCATCTACTTCCATCATGGTCTGACCAGCGAGAACAAGCCCTCTCTAAGCTGGCTTCGAGATGCCTATCGAGAGTTTGACAGGAAGTGAGTGATGCTGTTGTTAGTGAGAGGCTCATGAGTGCTTTAACAGCAGCACACGAGAGCAAACCTTATTGGTTCTGTCAAGCTTCAGTATTGCTGTGTCTGTTGCAGGTATAAGAAAAATATCAAGGCGCTGTACATAGTCCATCCCACCATGCTTATCAGAACCATCCTTATTCTCTTCAAACCCCTTATCAGGTCAGTGCCACACTATGCTCAATGTTATTTTATTCTCACTTTGATTGTAGAGTGTGATCTGTACTGTAATCTGAATCTTATAGCCTGAATGCATAATACTTCATAATACATCACAGATGGATGTGCTTATGTTCTGTTTTCAGCTTTAAGTTCGGGCGCAAGTTAAACTACATAAATTATTTGAGTGAGCTGGAGGAGATTGTGAAGTGTGATCAGCTGGTGATTCCCAACAGAGTCCGAGAGTAAGAAATTCTAGATATGCTTTGCTTTTATAAACACTGTTATACATGTGTTCGAATCACACTGTCATATCTTAGCCCAGATTAAAAAGTTCTTTTGAGGTGCATTCAGGAGTTTCTTTGTGTAGGTATGATGATAAGATCTGTCTGTCCCTGAAGCCGTCTGTCGTCCCTGGACCAATTTCTCCCCCTCATAGTCCTCCGCTTCCGTTCCAGCAGTTTGGCGTTCCACTGTCAGTGTATGTTAAGTCACTAACAGTTCCTCTCATATCTCACACAGCTACTGTTAATGACTGAAAGCAAGAAATTATTCCTGAATGTAGTTGAAGATGACTGTGGCAGGAGGGGCGTGGTTCAGCGAGGTCTGCATCGGGAGAGAGAGGCAGGAGACGAGAGGTGCGTATGTAGGTCAAGTGCAAATGATAAACACCTGTGTCTTGTTTCAGTAATTGGTGTGGAGAGACCGGATAAAAGGGGCCGCCTGGAACATGATGGGGGAGAGGCGGACTGGGTACGCGAGCGACCCGGGGAGACGGGTGTAGATTCACGGAAGCAAGTTGTGTTCTGTTTGTCATGAGTTATTGACTGCGAATCTGACAGCGCTGAGTGAGCGCCGTATTGTGTGCAGTGCCCAAAGAAATTTAAATAAAGCTCGCGTCCCAGCAAGCCGACCCTGCCTACTTCCTTCCACACTCCTGAACCTTTGTTACACTGGTGCCGAAACCCGGGAAGGAAGAAGGCCGTCTCTCCCCCATCATGTTCCAGGTGGCCCCTTTTATCCGGTCTCTCCACACCAATTACTGAAACAAGACACAGGTGTTTATCATTTGCACTTGACCTACTGTCTCCTGCCTCTCTCTCCCGATGCAGACCTTGCTGAACCACGCCCCTCCTGCCACAATGACAGTCTCATTTATACTACAGAATTTAATAGAATTTTTTTTACATTTTGATTTTTTGCTATTTAGATTTTTTTTTTTTTTGCTTATTTAGATTATGTTTTGTATTGTTGCTTGTAATCAGATTGAGACACAGGGCGGCAGACTCAGAGGGAATTCCACTAGTCATGCGTGATACTATTGGATTCCTGCAAGAGAATGGTAGGTCTTTTAGTCAAGTCAGATTTATGGCTCAATCAAACCTTTTACGTACCTCTAAATGTGAATGTACTGTATGTATCCACATAAGGTTGGATATACTAATAGTAGTCTTTTTTTTAGCCTGGGGGGTGGGTTGTGGAATAATGGGCCAAATTTATTACAGAATGTTGTAAACTTTATTTATTTACTTTCTTAAATTGAGAATGTGAATTTTATTCCCATCTTCATTGTAGGTCTTAAGACAGAGGGAATATTCCGGCGTTCTGCTAATGTTTCTTTGGTTAAGGATGTTAAGCTGAAATATAACTCAGGTAAATTCATGTGATGCGGAAGAATCCTCACACATTTCCTGTTCACAAGAATGATTGGCATCAGTCCTTAGAATGTGGCGTGTGTGTGTGTCTGTAGGAGAGGAAGTGAGTTTCTCTCAGCTGGACGATGTCCACTTGGCAGCTGTGATCTTAAAGATGTTCCTCAGAGAACTTCCAGAGCCGCTGCTTACCTATCAGCTCTACAACGACATTGTCAACTTCCACAGTGAGAACACAAAACACAATGCACTCACATACCAACACCAGCAGCTTCCAGAAAGCTCACATACACGCGCACACACACACATCTGTACACCTACTATACTGACATTTGTTTACTGATTGTTAAAACCACAGCTTTTGCATGTAGACTATTTACAATGAGCCTTGAAAGTGACATGACCACACACACATTCACACAAACTTGATTTGCATTCCATGTGTGTTGTGTTATCAGATGTTGACACAGAGTCTCAGGCAGAAAGGATTCGGAACATGCTGATGTCACTTCCTGAGGAGAACTATGCATCACTGCGCTTCCTTATACAGTTTCTTGCTCAGGTAATGCTCATCATAATTGGCAATGTTCAACAAAAATTATTTTTACTTAAAAGTTCAATTTAACTTTTTTTAAAGTTTGTATTTATTATATATTTACATATTATTATTATTATTATTAGTGCTGTCAATCGATTAAAAAAAATAAAGAATTAATCGCACATTTTTCTGAAATTAATCGCGATTAATCCTACCTAACATTAAAGTTTTTAAATATACTTTTGTATTGCAATAATTTCACATTCAATCTTCAAATGAATGTACAAACAACATAAAGACATTTTTTCATGTTTAATGGCATCTTACTGAAGGCCAGAATCAATGATACCAATACTGATTTCTCTATACAATTGCCCCCCTCCCATATTTAACCATTGACAATAGCCATTCAACATTACAGTATAATTGAGAGCTATCAATTTGTTAGACTTTAAAAAATTACTTCTAATTTAAGTGAACTTAAAACAATCTTCACATAAATAAACCCATTATAATAAACGTCATATTTACCTGTGCCCTTCAGCAGAAATATACAGAAATTTAAATGATCAAACACTAAATTCAAAATTAAATATAAAAAGCTATAAAAGTTATTATTTCCTCTCTTTTTTTTCTCTGTCCTTTGATTAATAGACATCACAGCAGCTGGTTATTAGGTTATTTTGGCTGTTATTTCTTTAAGAGCTGCCGCTGCAGAACGTGACGTGGATTCTACATGCATGCATTTCTCTCAAATCTTTTTACCTTTTCTGATCCACTTCAGGTCTTAAAGTCTCTATTAATGAACTGATGAGTTAAATCGGGTGTTAGATGAGTGAGACAGGCTGCTCCAGGACAGTTTTGAAAACCATTTCAGAGACATGTTCTTAAATATGACTCATATAAAATATATTACATGCATGCACAGTTTCAAGGCAGCTTTAATCGCCTTTTTGGTAACTTCATGACTTAACTGACCACGACATTGCATGTACGTAGTTTATTTCGCACTTTGATATGAAAAGATACAGGCTAGAGCATGCGCTGCGAGCACAGTACCGTTTCCGCGCTTGCTTGACTCGCGCCTGGCGCTGAAGTGAAGTGGAGCGCGCGTCTGAAACCTCTCCCGTTCCCCGTTCACACTGCCAGCGACTTTTTCTCTCACAAACTATATATTGCCGGTAAAACTAAGATATCATTCGATTATGACTAGGAATTAGACGTAAAAGAAATAAAAGTACCATTCTGCTGTTGGAGAGTTTTGTTACAGTGGGGCAAAAAAGTATTTAGTCAGCCACCAATTGTGCAAGTTCTCCCACTTAAAAAGATGAGAGAGGCCTGTAATTTTCATCATAGGTATACCTCAACTATGAGAGACAAAATGAGAAAAAAAAATCCAGAGAATCACATTGTAACAGCAGTGCTCGGGCATTAAATCATTAACCGGTGCTAAACTGCTCACTGCATCATATAATTAACAACTCGAACCATCAATGTATGAATAGTGGTCGACCGATATATCGGCCAATATTTGGCATTTAAAAATATCGGCATTGGCCGATAAGTTTTTCTGCTTGGCCGATGTGTTCGAGGCGGGACTTTTATTTTGACGGCGCTGAGAATGACAGCGTCAGAGCACTGTGTCACATTCTCTCTCTTCATTGTTTGCTGTCGTCATTTAACAGTTCTGCCTAATACAGATAGAAGTCTGTCTAATAATCAGATAGAACTGTTGAACAAATGAATTAAAAAGTATTATAACGATTGCTTTTATATTATTAGTAACAGAAAGGCAAACATTATAATACTTTCTCGTTTGCCGTCAGCATTCAGCAAATACGCATCTCATTTAAACAAACCTTTAAATGACTAATGAACATTTAATTTCACAAACCTTGCAGACTTAGTCGGATCCAGCTGTGAGATCTTGTGAAGTGTGCATTTGTATATTGCCTGATCACGTGTGCTCTGCGTGACAGCCTATCCGTGCGAACTGAATCCGGACAGGAGGAGAGTTCAGCTTCACTGGAGACGCGCGATCAACTTTAAACTCGTTATTTCAAACTACCTTGGCTTTAGTTGAAAAAATATGATTCCCAATGCACACAAGATTCCCAACTTCCCAGATTACCGAGTGCCCTGTTGGTTACGGTGTTTACTTACTTTTTGTTTATAAAATATATTTTATAATATTTCTTTATTTGTGAAAAATACTGTAATAGAATTATAGAATCAGGAAGTTGTCATCTAAAGTATAAGTATGTTTATTTTACACAATACAAATAAAAATGTTAATTAAAATAAAAAATATACTTATATATATCGGCTTTATATCGGTCACCCTGCTCTAAGATATCAGCATCAGATGTCAAAAAACCAATATCAGTCGACCACTATGTATGAATCAAACTCACTTAGACAGCTGTAGGGAGTTAAATTCAAGGTTAACATTAATGTTCTATAACTTTAAATAAGATCTAGAGGTAATATCGTGAGAACAGAGACCCGCGATTAGGATCACGGGAGAGAATGATCTAGACAGTTGTGAGAGCGTAGAGGGAGAGATGACACGCTCTGTGTAATCGGATGTTGCTGATTCATGATGTTTACCTCTTCGTGTTTAATAAATAAAGTGTTATGATCTGCCGAGCTCTCTGTCGGTGTCCTCCTTGGATCAAAGCCAAGAGCCCATGAGCCAGAGAGTGGTAAGAACTGTGACGCTCATATATAGGAACAACACGCGTTACACTGGTGGCAGCGCTGGTTGGCTTGTTTTTGTTGGGACACTTGTTTTTTTTATTGTATTGAACGAGGTGGATATCGCCACTTTAACCTGCAGAGACGTTGATATTGTTTTTCACGTACTCTTTTTGCAAGTTCGGATTACGTGCGTTCTCTCTCACACAAAATGGCGGATGACGAGCATGAAGCAGCTGCAGTACAGAGAGACAGACATGTTGCAGATGCAGCAAACCCACATCTGCCGTTTAAAATTGACCTTCCTCATCCTTTTTCTGGAGACGGTACAGAGCCTTTTAGTGTATGGATACAGAGATTCGAAGTTGCACTTAATGTTTCAGCTGTATCCCCAGATAAACCCAAACTTCTCCCTGTGAAGCTTACTGGTCCGGCATTTGCATATTGGCAGTCTCTCCCATCTGAAGTGAAAGCTGATTACAAGTTAACTAAAGCCAGTTTGACCACTGTTTTTGGCCATACAACATGTTTGGCCACATTTCAGACATTTTTGAATGCTCGTCCCCGAAAACCACAAAAACCTCTTGAAGTCTATGCTGCTGAGCTCACGAATTTAGTGAGTGAAGCGTTTCCTCAATATGATGCAGCAGCACGGAAATGTGAAATTTTTCGTAGATTTGTGACCGGTTTAGACCCATCACTTCAATTGAAAATCCATGAGCATGGCGCTGTGACTTTGGACAATACTTTGAGAGTCCTGCGCAGCCGTGGACTACGACATCGCAGCACGCCATCGCCAACCTAGCTTGGATGATTATCATCGCCATCGAGACTGCTGCTGTACTGCACAATACACACAGAGAGGTCGACAACACCCTCGAGACGACTGCTATTCTCAACGATACCACCGTGGCTACTCCGAACATGATCAACCACCCCCAAATTAATGACTCCTCCTGCCAAAGACATTGTAGCTACTCTAATTCATCCCGTAGTTATGAGTCACACATGCCTTACATCACACAATCTGACGAATACAACCCCCACAGACATCATTATGAAAACTCCAGATCTGGCCGCTCGCCTTCACGGGAGCGCCGGCCTGATCTCGAATGTGAACATGTAACCCATTATGCTCGCTCACCCTCACCCAGTCAACAGTACAGACACTCCAGTTATCGCAGACATAGCTCTCCATCGCCACCTCCCCATTCCTATAGTTCACCAAGGTATTACACCTCCCCCACACGACACTTCTCTCAGTCTCACAGAGGGAAAGCCCCTTTCTCGCCACATCGGGGAAACAAGTAGAAGCTGTCATTGGGGGCCAAATGCCAGCTTCATCCCCAATAATGGTCCACTCTGATACAGTTGATTTTAACTATACTCCACCCACTCCTTTTATTCAAATTGCACTGGCCGGTACGGAACTCCATGCTTTGGTGGATACAGGATCAGGCCTATCTCTCATTACAGATGACTGTCGTAGATCCATTCCAGCACAACGGTACCATTGACATACCACATGCATGTTTACAGCTATATAACACTTCAGTGCCTCTTTCATCACCCCAGTCATTGATTCCAGTACAAAGTTCTGCAGTTAGTGTCGCTCAGGTGACTGTCCCGCCTATGTCAGAGATGGTAATCCCAATTTCTGTCAAAGATAATGGCATAGCGAATCCTTTCACTGACTCGTATGTGGGTATACTGGAACCACAGCCTCCTCCAGTTGTGACCTTAGGAGTCGCTCTGACACTGACTTCAGTTCAAAAAGGGAGGGGCATAGTTCGAATTGTTAACCCGATTAATGAACAAGTCTCTCTTGATGCTGGATGCCCATTAGGTCAGATTTTATCCGTCACTGGAAATTCATATGATGAGTATGCGTTAGTCTCAGCCGTGACTACTTCTAAAGAAGATGTCCGTCCAATGCCTGAAGTGCATTTGGAGTATACACAGCTAAATGATGAAGAACAGGCACAGCTTAAGAGCCTGTTGACCGAGTTCGCTGACATTTTTAGCTCTCATTCTCAACTAATTTGATTACACACAGCATCTATACTGGCGACGCTGCTCCAATAAAACTATGCCCATATAGAACATCACCAGCTACTCAGGCTGTACTGCAACAAGAGGTGTCAAAGCTCTTGGACCACAACATCATTGAGGAGTCTCACAGTCCATGGTCAGCTCCGGTTGTGCTTGTTCGGAAAAAGGATGGCACACACCGGTTCTGTGTCGATTACAGATGCCTCGATGTTACAATTAAAGATGCACACCCTCTTCCTCGGGTGGATGATACTCTTGACAGGCTTTCTGGAGCCAGAGTGTTTAGCACTATAGATCTGACTGCTGGTTACTGGCAAATACCACTTAACCCGAATGACAAGGAAAAGACTGCTTTCTCCACTGGTACTGGGCTATATCAATTCCGCATGATGCCAATGGGCATCTCTAACGCACCGCCCAGTTTCCAGCGCTTAATGGAACTTGTGCTTCGGGGTCTGCACTGGAGCGTTTGTTTGATCTACTTAGATGATATTATCGTCTACAGTGCCGATTTCCCACAACACCTACAGCACTTATGTGAAGTTTTCCAGCGATTTCGTACAGTTGGTCTGAAACTTAAGGCATCCAAGTGCCATCTAGCACGTTCCTCTGTTACTTTTCTGGGCCACCGTGTTTCCAGTGCCGGTGTTGAGCCAAACCCATCTAACATAGATAAAGTCAAGACTTAGCCAATCCCAACATCAGCTACACAGGTCAGGGCTTTTCTGGGTCTGTGTTCCTATTATCGTCGATTCATTAGTCACTTTGCACGCACTGCTGAACCCTTGTACCCTCTTACACACAAGGGAGTATCATTCTCTTGGTCAGGAGAAGCAAATGAAGCTTTCAATGTACTGAAACAGGCACTGGCTTCATCGTCAATTATGGCTTTTCCAAATCTTTCAGCTCCTTTCCTTCTTTACACAGATGCTTCCCATCATTCTGTGGGCTCTGTTCTTTCACAACAGGTGGAAGGAAAAGAGCATGTCATTGCATACGCCAGTCATGTGCTGTCTGCTTCAGAAAGAAAATGGTCTACTTTCGATCGAGAATTGTATGCCATTGTCTGGTAGGTTTGCCACTTCCGACACTATTTTGCTGGTCACACGTTCACTATAATTACGGATCACAAACCTCTGGTTGGTCTTAAGAAACTTCCTTTAGATCATGACCCTACAGGTAGACGAGCCCGTTGGGCCATAGAATTGGACCTTTATGATTGCCATGTCATTCATCGTGATGGAGCTAAACACCTTAATGCAGACGCCATGTCTAGGCGGCCAGACACTAATCCTGTAGTATCTGATAGTTGCTCTCGGGATGATGTGTCCATCATTTCGTTAGCAACTCCGACCACATCAATACCTTTGCATGCAAAACCGGTGTCAGCACACACCCAAACATTGCCAATGAACAACATTTTTTTTCTTTTGCCCGTTCCTAATCACATAACATCAAATCTCGTTCTAATTCAAAGTGATTGGGATGTGATGGAAAAACAAAGGTCAGATCCAGATTTAGTTGTTGTTTTCTCTTGGATAGAAACGGGGCGTAGACCACCCTTATGGAGGCTACGTGATGCTTCCCCATATCTCAGAAAACTGTGGACACAGTTTAGTCGCCTCACCATTCACAATGGGGTGTTATGCAGACACGTACGCAACTCTTTTGGTGATAATGCCTTACAGGTAGTCATTCCTACATCATTGATTCCTGAAATACTCAGTCATGTCCATGGACACCCATCAGTGGGTCATTATGGGTTGGCCAAAACATTGGACAGAGCTATGCGGTCCTTTTACTGGCCTTACATTTACATTTACATTTAGTCATTTAGCAGACGCTTTTATCCAAAGCGACTTACAATTGGGGGATACATAAAGCGATTCTTTTTCCGTCCATTCCAAATAGTGGCCGCAGACATAACAGAGTTGCTCTTTTCAACCAAGGGTCACCGCTATGTACTAGTAATGATGGACCTGTACACCAAGTTTGTAAATTTCTACCCATTAAAAGATCAGACAGCTGTCTCTGTGGCAGGTTGTATATTTGACCACTACATTCCACAGCACGGTGTCCCTGAGTGTTTTTTTTATATCCATGTATGTAGTTACAGTAAAATCATTTTCATATAAAACAGTGAAATCGCTCAGGAAATCTGTCCCGTCTTGCCTGCACTCGTGACGGTGACGTGTGAGCGCCACTGACAGATTCTTCACTCCTATTGGTTGTCGCTCGCGAAATTTGCTGTTCGTTTGCATAAAGTAAATTTTTTTTTAACTTTTATCGCTTGACACGCCCACATTCTGTCGCCAACGGTCACAGTCACTCGTGTCGCCGGAAGTCGCCAGCTCTCCATTCAAAATGAATGGGAGCAAGTCGCTTAGTCGCTGGCAGTGTGAACGGGGCTTCGTTATGCGACTGAATAAATGCACTTCTTGTCAAGAGAAAAGGTTACAGAAGCAGCAGTTGTGAGTGGGGTGGCCAACCTTAGCCCCGCGTCTGCGTTAATTACGTTAAATATTTTTAACGCGTTAAACTGAAAAAATTAATTGCCTAATTTAACGTGCTAATTTTGGCACCACTAATTATTATATAATTATATTGTATATTATATATATGTGTGTGTGTGTAAAAAAAAAAAGAAATACAGATACACATACACATATATTATACTTATTTTTATATATATTTATATTTAGAATTTTAAATGTAACTTCTTATTATTTTTTTCTTTCCTACTTTGTCCTTCAAGCCCTTTAGTGTTTCTGATCTTTATTGTTATTGATGTGCAGGTGTCTGCTGAGAGTGAAGTCAATAAGATGACCAATGCCAACCTGGCTGTGGTGTTTGGGCCCAACTTACTGTGGGGGCAGGATGCTTCCATGACACTCAGCGCGATCGGACCAATCAACAACTTCACCCGCATCCTGCTTGACCTACATCAGAAGGTCTTTATCCAGTGAGGAGCAGGAGAACTTTTCACAATGACTCCTCTCTGGTTATTGTCCCTCCTAGTTCCATAGCTTTGCTCCTCTGTGGCTGTGCCCCGTCCTTAATTTCTCCCTCAGTATTGCCAAATGCATGAGTATTTTAACTGGGTGAAGCTACGAAAAAAGGATACTGGAGGGCGCAGAGTGGTCAAGCTGTCACAAACGTTTAGGCTGTGATTAAATTCTGACAATCGTCTCCTTTCTTTCCTGCAGAAATCATGTAGCTGCTGTCAGACATAATGGTACTGCACAGGCACTAGAGTTTTATATGGTCTGTTAGCAGAGGCCTGAATCAATAAACCAACAAAGTGTACAGGTAGCTGCTTTCATTTTTATTTTTTGGTTGCTCATCAGCTATACTTCGGAAATTTTTTGTTGGACTTTACAGAATTCATTTCAGTTCATTTTTCCAAGTAAAATTTTACTAAATGCACACGTCCTCATTTTTGTAAGCCATAGTTGGCACAAGCTATGGACAAGTATAAAGCACTACTACTCAAACTTGAAACACTTATTTTAAACATGCTTATTTCATTTTACATAAAATATATGATATTATGTATTGTCTCAAAGAGCTTTCATTCAGTCTTCGTTTATATTATCATATGATTATATTTTTATTAATTCTATAATCTGTTTCATCTTTTTTTGGTGTCTCAGTAGCTCCAGAAACAGGGCAGATGCTTTATGGCCAGCACAAATTTCCTGATGCTGAAACAGAAAAGTAATTTTTCTGATCAAAACCTGTGTGTGTATACATTTATACATGTGTGTGTGTGTATGTGTATATATATATATATATATATGAAATGGCATATAGATTAAGAATACAAACAGTAATTTGATCACATGGTTACATACACTCTTAAAAATAAAGGTGCTTCAAAAGGTTCTTTAAGTGATGAGATAGAAGAACCATTTTGGTTCCACAAAGAGCCATTCAGTCAAAGATTCTTTAAAGAACCATCTCTTTCTTACCTTTTTATAATATGAAGAACCTTCTTTCACCACAAAGAACCTTTTGTGAAACAGAAAGGTTCTTCAGATGTTAAAGGTTCTTTATGGAACCATTTAGACAAAAAGGTTCTTCTATGGCATC